GGCATACAACAGAGACATATATATTAATGGTATAGATTTCAGAGTGCAGAAATATTCATGTTTATGGTTAATAGGCTTTTCAGGAAGAATGCCAAGGCACCTCAAAGAAGAAAAAAACAATCTTGTTAACATATGGTGCTGGGTCAATTGGATATTCACATGCAAAGAATGAAGCTGGAGGGGCCGGTGCTGTCGCTTGCTGCATTAAGCCACTGCCTGCAATGCCAGCATCCCATATGGGTGCTAGTTCAATTCCTAGCTGCTCCATTTCCAATCCAGCTCCCTGCTAATGAGCCTGGGAAGGCAGTGAAAGAAAGCCCAAATGTTTGGGCCCTTGCACCACGTGGGAGACCCAGATGAAGCTCCTGGCTCCTGGCTTCAGCCTGGCCCACCAAAGGCTGGAGAGTGGATCAGCAGATGGAAGATCTCTTTCTCTCTGTGTCTTCCTCTCTCTGTGTCACACTGCCTTTCAAATAAATAATCTAAAATTTAAAAAGCGTAAACTTTTTGTGCTTCAAAAGATGCCATCAAGAAAATAAAAGACAATCAACCAGATGGGAGAAATTTTTTGAAAATTGTATTTATGATCATCTCTGGAACATATGAAATGAAGAACTTATACAACTCAGTAAAAAGAAAAATAACTTAACAAAAATATTGACAAAAGATTTGAAAAGACATTTCTCCAAAGAATGTATACAAATAGCCAATAAACACATGAAAAGATACACAACATAATGAGTCATTGGGAAATGCAAATCAAAACCACAGTGAGATACCACTTCATACCTAGTAAGAAGGCTGTAATCAAAGTAACAAATAAGTGTTGGCAAGCATGTAGGGAAACTGGAACCCTCATACACTGCTAGTGGAAATGTAAAATGACATAGCCACTTTAGAATATAGCTGTAGGGCTCGATGCTGTGGAGTAGAGGGTAAAGTTGCCGCCTGCAGTGCCGGCATCCCATATGGGTGCCAGATCAAGTTTTGGCTGCTCCACTTCCGATCCAGCTCTTTGCTATGGCCTGGGAAAGCAGTAGAAGATGGCCCAAGTCCTTGGGCCCCTGCACCCATGTGGGAGACCTGGAAGAATCTCTTGGCTCCTGGCTTCAGATTGGTGCAGCCAGTCATTGCAGCCAATTGGGGACTGAACCGGTAGATGGAAGACCTGTCTGTCTGTCTGTCTCTCTCTCTCTCTGCCTCTCTTTCTCTTTCTGTGTAACTCTTTCAAATAAATGTTTTTTTTAAAGAATACAGCTGTAAATTAATGAAAAGACTAAATAGAGTTAACATATGACCCAGCAATTCTATGTCTCAGAATACACTAATGAGAAATGAAAACATATATTGACAGAAACACTTGTACATGAATGTTCATGGCAGAATAGGGGCCAGCACTATGGCATAGTGGATTATGCCTCTGTGGTATCCCATATGGGCACCAGTAAGAGTTCTGGCTGCTCTTCTTACGATCCAGCTCTCTGTTATGGCCTGGGAAAGCAGTAGAAGATGGCCCAAGTCCTTGGGCCCTTGCACAAGCATGGGAGACCTGGAAGGAGCTCCTGGCTCTTGGCTTCGGACTGGCCCAGCCCTGGCCAGTGCAGGCAACTGGGAAGCGAACCAGTGGATGAAAGACCTTTCTGTCCCTCTCTCTGTCTGTAACTCTACCTCTCAAATAAATAAATAAATATTTATTTATTAGACAGGTAGAGTTATAGACAGTGAGAGACAGAGAGAAAGGTCTTCCTTCTGTTGGTTCACTTCTCAAATGGCCACTATGGCCAGCACTACGCCGATCCAAAGCCAGGAGCCAGGTACTTCCTCCTGGTCTCCCATGTGGGTGCAGGGGCCAAAACACTTGGGCCCTCCTCCACTGCCCTCCCGGGCCACAGCAGAGAGCTGGACTGGAAGAGGAGCAACCGGGACTAGAAGTCAGTGCCCATATGGGATGCCGGTGCCACAGGCGGAGGATTAACCAAGTGAGCCACGGCACTGGCCCCAATAAATAAATCTTTTTTTTTTGTTTTTGTTTTTGTTTTTTTGTTTTTTTTTTTTTTGACAGGCAGAGTGGACAGTGAGAGACAGAGACAGAGAGAAAGGTCTTCCTTTGCCGTTGGTTCACCCTCCAATGGCCGCCACGGCCGGCGCGCTGCGGCCGGCGCACCGCGCTGATCCGATGGCAGGAGCCAGGAGCCAGGTGCTTTTCCTGGTCTCCCATGGGGTGCAGGGCCCAAGCACCTGGGCCATCCTCCACTGCACTCCCTGGCCACAGCAGAGAGCTGGCCTGGAAGAGGGGCAACCGGGACAGAATCCAGCGCCCCGACCGGGACTAGAACCCGGGGTGCCGGCGCCGCTAGGCGGAGGATTAGCCTAGTGAGCCGCGGCGCCGGCGGCCAATAAATAAATCTTTAAAAAAATTTATTCCCAATGGCTAAAAAGTGTAAAGATCACATATATTCACCTACTGATAAACAAAATGTATATCTGTAGAACAGAATTTTATTCAGTTTAAAAAAGAATGCATGGGGCCAGCACTGTGGCATAGTAGGTTAAGCCTCCATCTGTGGTACCGGTGTTCCATATGGGAGACCTGAAAGAAGCTTCTGGCTCCTGGCTTCAGTTCAGTCCAGCTCCAGCCATTGCAGCCATTTTAGGAGTGAACCAGTGGATGGAAGTCCTTTCTCTCTGTCTTTCCCTCTCTCTGTCTCTAACTCTGATGCTCAAATAAATAAATAAAATCTTAAAAAAATGAATGCAGTATTGATAAATGCTAAAACATGGATGAACTTTGAAAATATGATAAATTTAAGATGGTGGGCACAAAGAACCTGTATTGTATGGCTTATATGAAATGTCCGAATAGGCAAATCCATAGAGACGGTGTATTAGTGGTTACCAGGAGCTTGCAAGAGCAGGAAATGGGGAGTAACTACTAATGGGTATAGAATTTCTTTGTGGGAAACTGAAAATAATCTGGAGTTAGATAGTGGTGATAGCTGCAAAACTTTGACTTGTACACATTAAGTATCTGAGTTTTATGGTATGTGAGTTGTATATCAATTATAAAAAAATAAAAGAAACATATGCTTACGAATATGGGTCAGATAAATGGAGAATCACGTCTAACTCTCAAATGGTCCAGAAGAAAAAAGTTGTATTTTTCTGACAACTACTCCGAAAATTTAAATGACTTCAAATGAAAAGAAAAATGACATTCAATGAGTGATGTTATAGGGGATACATTTTGTTCTGCTCCACTCTCAGTGCTTTTTAAAAAGTGAATCATTCATAACTAATAATATTATTTAATATAGAATTTGATTCTGAAAAAGAAAATGGAGTTCCAACTTATAACATCTCATCCTGTTCTTCTATAAGAAAAGGCTGTGGTATAGGGTAAGGCTAACAATACTTCTTTGGAGTCAGACAAAATGAGCCACTTTCTAGTTTTATGACTTTAAGAAAGTCATTCAACTTCCAGGAGTCTCAGTATCCTCATTTGTAAAATGAGAAAAATTAATGATTCTGTTTGGTACAATTTCATTGTATCTTTTTTTTTTTTTTTTTTTTTCTGGTGACAGGCAGAGTGGACAGTGAGAGAAAGAAAGAGAGAGAGAAAGGTCTTCCTTTGCCGTTGGCTCACCCTCCAATGGCCGCCGCGGCCGGCGCGCTGTGCTGATCCAAAGCCAGGAGCCAGGTGCTTCTCCTGGTCTCCCATGGGGTGCAGGGCCCAAGCACTTGGGCCATCCTCCACTGCACTCCCTGGCCACAGCAGAGAGCTGGCCTGGAAGAGGGGCAACCGGGACAGAATCCGGCACCCCGACCGGGACTAGAACCCGGTGTGCCGGCGCTGCAGGCGGAGGATTAACTTATTGAGCCGCGGCGCCGGCCTGTATCTTTATTTCCAATATGATTTTTTTAAAAGATTTATTTATTTACATGAAAGGCAACTACAGAGAGAGGCAAAGAGACATGCCTTCTGCTGGCTCACTCTCCTGGGCCAAGAGCTTCATCTGGTTCTCCCACACGGGTGGCAGGGGCCCAAACACTTGGGCCATCTGCTGCTGCTTTGCCAGGCCATCAGCAGGGAGCTGGGCAAGAAGTGGAGCAGCCAGGACTCTAGTAACCCTCTGTACTACAGTGCCAGCCCCTCCAAGATTTCTGTTCTCTCATGCTTGGAATTACAGTTAACTTCATTTATCACGTAGTCTGATGTTTTAGTTTCTAGGTTAGACAATTTATTTATTCCCCATTATCCGCTCCTTACCTACTAGCTATACTATTACTTATCACTATTTTTCATGGTAGGTTTGGAGTAGAGATAAAATTTATTACTTATTGATAACTCTAATAAAAGATTTGGTAGAGATAGATATTAGCTAAACCACTGAAAGTTAGAGAGATCTCAGTTACCCACCGCCACAATCACAAGCTAAGTACCTACACACAGCAAGCAGAATCACGTCACAGAGTGTAGCCAGTTCTAATTCAGGTTATTCACCTCTTCTCAGACACTATTAGGAAATGAGTTACAAACAAAATAGTTCCCCTAAGCCGGAGCCGCGGCTCACTAGGCTAATCCTCCGCCTTGCGGCGCCGGCACACAGGGTTCTAGTCCCGGTCGGGGCACCGGATTCTGTCCCGGTTGCCCCTCTTCCAGGCCAGCTCTCTGCTGTGGCCAGGGAGTGCAGTGGAGGATGGCCCAAGTGCTTGGGCCCTGCACCCCATGGGAGACCAGGAGAAGCACCTGGCTCCTGCCATCGGATCAGCACAGCGCGCCGGCCGCGGCGGCCATTGGAGGGTGAACCAATGGCAAAGGAAGACCTTTCTCTCTGTCTCTCTCTCTCACTGTCCACTCTGACTGTCAAAAAAAAAAAAAGTTAAAAAAAAAAAATAGTTCCCCTAACTTGAACAAAACATAAGCTGTCCTTCAGACCCTTTGTCCTTAACGCATGGAAGCTGGAAGCAACAGGTTGGCTGGAAGCGCTGTCTGTACTTACCAGCTGTTTGTTGTGCTGTGGCAGAGGGCACGGCTGGGCTCCGGCTGGCACCTGGTACACAGGGGTGATGGACATACTGGCAGGGTGGGCACATATGTAGAGCACCTGCACAGCCTCCACAGCTGGACTAGGGTTCAGCACACCTGGGTGATTTCCAATTCGAAATGTGAGAACCTTAAAGGGAATATAACAGCAGGAGAAAACTTAGGTAGACATTTGATGTCAGTCATGCCAATTTAAATGTTACTATTATTCAAATTCTAGCACACACAGTGCCCTTTGGACACTATAATCAGAGAAACCGCATATAGGCATTATAGTTCATAATTGTGCTACGGGCATTAGGGCATCATGGAAATTTGAGATCAAATGGAACATTAAGAAAAAATCCACTTTGACCAATTATTTCAGTGTGTTTTATCCCCCCAGCATAAGGTTTATTTAGAAAGTGAGATGAATACACAGGCACTCAGCATTTTCAATTCCACCACATCTTTTGTTATCAGTTGGTAAAAAGTAGAAAAGCTAATCTTGTTTCAACTTGTCTATAGAGGAAGTACCAATGAATAACAGAATGTGCAAGTAAAAATAAGTTAGGGAATGCCAAGTGGGGGCTAATTCATCCTGAAATGACTAATATTTCACTCAACAAACAAGGAAAAAATACCTAAACGTAATAGAAGCCTTATGTGAAAAACCCACAGCTAACATCATACTTCATGGTAAAAGACTGAAAGCTTTTCACCTAGGATCAAGAGCAAGGATGGGGCCAGTGCTGTGGCATAGCGGTTAAAGCTGCCACCTGCAGTAGTGGCATCCCATATGGGCACCAGTTCGAGTCCCAGATGCTCCACTTCCGATCTAGCTCTCTGCTATGGCTTGGGAAAGCAGTGGAAGATGGCCCAAGTCCTTGGGCCCCTGCACCTGCATGGGAGACCTGGGAGAATCTCCTGGCTCCTGGCTTCGGATTGGTGCAGCTCCAGCCATTGTGACCAAATGGGGAGTGAACCAGCAGATGGAAGACAACCCCCACTCCCACCTCAGCCTCTCTGTAACTCTGCCTTTCAAATAAAATATATAAATCTTTAAAAATAAAAGAAAGAGCAAGGATCCCCACCTTTGCTACTTCTATTCAACATTGTTCTACAAATTGTTAGCAAGAGTAATTAAGCAAGGAAATGAAATAAAATGCATCCAAATTGGAAAGGAAGAAGTAAAATTATGTTTGTCTGCAGATGATATGGTCCCACAAGATTTTTTTCAACAAAAAATGTTAGAATTAATAAATGAACTCAGCAAAGTAGCAGGATACAAAGTTAACAAACAAAAATCAGTTGCATATTTATACACTAACAGTGAACATAAATAATGAACAATCTGAAAAGGAAATTACAAAGGTAATTTCACTTACATTAGTATTAAAAACAATAAAATAGGGGCCGATGCTGTGGCACAGCAGGTTAAAGCTCTGGCCTGCAATGTTGGTATCCCATTTGGGGGCTGGTTCGAGTCCCAGCTGCTCCACTTCCAATTCAGCTTCCTGCTAATGTTCCTGGGAAAGCAGTGGAGGATAGCCCAAGTCCTTGGGCCCCTGTACTCATGTGGGAGACCCAGAAGAAGCTCCTGGCTTCGGATTGGCATAGCTCCAGCTGTTGTGGCCATTTGAAGAGAGAACCAGCAGATTTAACCCTTTTCTCTCTCTGCCTCTACTTCTCTCTGTAACTCTGTCTTTCAAATAAATAAAATAAATCTTAAAAAAAACACAATAAAATAATGAATAATTAGCCTAATGACGGAGGTGGAAGATTTGAATAATGAAAATGACAAAACATCGCTGAAAGAAATAGAGGACATAAATAAATGGAAACATCGCATGTATATGGAGTGGAAGATTTAATATTGTTATTACATTTCTCCAAGAATATATACAAATAACCAATAAGGTATGAAAAGATGCTCTACATCACCAATCAATAGGAAATACAGATCAAAACTACAATGAAAATACATCATACACATTTGGAAGGCTAGTATAAAAAAAGTAAATAACAAGTGTTGATGTGGATATGGAGAAATGGAGACCCTTGTGCACTGCTGATAGGAAAGAATGTGAAATGGCATAGGTGCTGCAGAAACTAGTATGAGCCGGCGCCGTGGCTCAATAGGCTAATCCTCCACCTTGCGGCGCCGGCACACCGGGTTCTAGTCCCGGTTGGGGCGCCGGATTCTGTCCCGGTTGCCCCTCTTCCAGGCCAGCTCTCTGCTATGGCCAGGGAGTGCAGTGGAGGATGGCCCAGGTGCTTGGGCCCTGCACCCCATGGGAGACCAGGAAAAGCACCTGGCTCCTGGCTCCTGCCAGGATCAGCACGGTGCGCCGGCTGCAGCGGCGGCCATTGGAGGGTGAACCAACGGCAAAAGGAAGACCTTTCTCTCTCTGTCTCTCTCTCACTGTCCACTCTGCCTGTGGGCAAAAAAAAAAGAAAAAAAAAAAAAACAAAGAAACTAGTATGACAGTTCTTCAAAATGTTAAAATAGGATTACTATATGACACAGCAAATCCACCTGCAGATGTGTAGCCAAAAGAATTGAAAAGAAGGGTCTTTTAAAAAAGAGATTTATTTATTTATTTGAAAGGCAGAGTGACAGAGAGGGAGAAAGATCCTGGTGTCACAGGTAATAGCTTAACTCATTGTGCCACAATGCCAGTCCTGAAAGATGGGTCCTGAGGAGGTGTTTTTACATCCATGTTCATAACGGTATCATTCATAGTCACTGAAACACTGAAGTGCTCATCAATGGCTGAATGGATAAGCAAAATGTGTTATATACATATAATGGACTATTACACAACCTTAAGAAGGAAATTCTGACATGGGCTTCAACATGGATGAACCTTGAGGATATTATGCTAAGTGAAAACAGCTAGTCACAAAAATCAAATACTATATGATTCCATTTACATGAGGTACTCAAAGAAGTCAGAAATCATAAGAACAGAAAGTAGGGGCTGAAGTAGGGAGGGAGAGTGACTTTTCAATAAGTGTAGAGGTTCTGCTTTACAAGATGATAAGAGTTATAGAGATGGGTAGTGGCGATGGTTGCACAACATTATGAGTTTACTTAATATCACTGAACTGTGGTGCTGGCATTGTGGCACAGGGGGTTAAGCTGCCACCCACGATGCCAGCATCCCATATGAGCACCAGTTCGAGTCCTGGCTGCTCCACCTCTGATTCAGCTCCCTGTTAATGTGCCTGGGAAAGCAGCAGAAGATGGCCCAAGTGCTTAAGCCCCTGCCACCCACACAGTAGATCCAAACGGAATTCCAGGCTCCTGGCTTCAATGTAGGCCAGCCCTGGCCTTAGTGGCCATTTGGGGAATAAACCACAAGAGTAATAATATTCTCTCTCTCTCTCTTTCTCTAATTCTTTTTTTTTTTAAGATTTATTTTATTTATTTGAAAGACAGAGTTACAGAGAGTGGAGAGGCAGAGAGAGAGATAGAGAAGTCTTCCATCTGCTAGTTCACTCCTGAGATGGCTGCAACTGCGCCAGTCCAAATCCAGGAGCCAGGAGCTTCTTCTGGGTCTGCCACGTGGGTGCAGGGGTCCAAGGGCTTGGGCCATCTTCTACTGATTTTCCAGGCCACAGCAGAGAGCTGGATTGGAAGAGGAGCAGCCGGGACTAGAACCGGCACCCATATGGGATGCTGGCACTTCAGGCCAGGGCTTTAACTCACTGTGCCACAGTGCTGGCCCCTCTCTCTGTAATTCTACCTTTCAAATAAATAAACAAATTTTATAAAAACATGGTTAAGATGGTAAGTTATATACAGATATATTTTACCACAATAAAGAATTAGGGGAACTGAATAAAAGCTTAAACTGTACCATGCTGCCTTGTTCATTTATGCTGGTATTCAGAATTCTTCTCTGAATATTGGGCAAGAATCCACTCAAGCTTATTAATACTGGGAATTTATTAATAAGCACACGATGATATCGTGCGGTATCCCATATTCCGATATCAATTTGACGAAATTTAGCACCCCTTCATTATGAAAACTCTCAACAAATTAGCCACAGAAGGACTGAATCTCAACACAATAAAGGCACTGTATTAGAAGTTCAGAGCAAGTATCATTGTGAATGGCAAAAAGTCGAAAGCTCTTCCTCACAGATCAGGAAAAAGAAAATGATGCCTACTCTCACCCCTTCTATTTAGCATAGTACTAGAAGTCCCGTTCAACTAGGGAGGGGAAAGAGAAACAAGGTGTCCACAGTGAAAAGGAAGAAGTTAAATCTCCTCACAGACAACAGAATTTTAAACATAGAAAACCCAAAAAACTGAACAAAAAACCCAGTAGAGCTAATTAATGAATTCAGTAAAGTTGCAAGGTATGAAATCAAAGTTAATACAACCTTCTTGCTTCATTTTCTGATCTTTGTCATGAATTCCATGTTATGTGATATTAATATATCCACTTTAGCTTTAAAATAGTATGTGTACACATATAAGGTATACATATGAAGTTAATATGTCAAAATGTTAATTGTTAAATCTATTTGTGCTTGTTTGAACTCTTCTTTGTACTTTCCTATATTATTTGAGATATATCAAAATAAAAGACAAAAAAATACAAAAATCAGTAGAGCTTGTATATACTAAACTATCTGAAATGTGATCAATAAAATAATTTAATTTAAAATATCAAAAAAAGAATTAGGGAAAAAGGAGGTAACTAATCCTGAAATTTATTATTATCTAGTTATATACAATAGACGAGTTCACTACAGATATCACAAAGAAACTTAACTGATTACAGCACAGTTCTTCCTTATTTACTTGAAAGTGAGAGTTATTGGGCCGGCGCCGCGGCTCACTAGGCTAATCCTCTGCCTTGTGGCGCCGGCACACCAGGTTCTAGTCCCGGTCGGGGCGCCAGATTCTGTCCCGGTTGCCCCTCTTCCAGGCCAGCTCTCTGCTGTGGCCAGGGAGTGCAGTGGAAGATGGCCCAAGTGCTTGGGCCCTGCACCCCATGGGAGACCAGGATAAGTACCTGGCTCCTGCCATCGGATCAGCGCGGTGCGCCGGCCACAGCGCGCCGGCCGTGGTGGCCATTGGAGGGTGAACCAATGGCAAAAGGAAAACCTTTCTCTCTGTCTCTCTCTCTCACTGTCCACTCTGCCTGTCTAAATAAATAATACACTAAGAAAGTGAGAGTTACAGAGAGAGAGAAAGAGAGAGAGGTCTTCCATCTGCTGGTTCACTCCCCAGATTGTGCAACAGCTGGAGCTGGGCCAAGATAAAGCCAGGAGTCAGGAGCTTCTTCCAGGGCAGCTTCTTCTTAGGCAGGGACCTAAGCACTTGGGCCATCTTCTGCTGCTTTTTCCACGCCATTAGTAGGGAGCTGGATCACAAGTGGAATATCCAGGACACAAACTGGCACCCATATGGGATGCCATTGTTGCAGATGGCAGCTTTACCCTCTACACCACAATGCTGGCCTTACAGCACAGTTTTATTTTTAAGATTTATTTATCTATTTATTTGAAAGGCAGAGAGAGAGAGAGAGAGAGAGAGAGAGAGAGAGAATGAATCTCCCATCGGCTGGTTCACTTCCCAAATGGCCTCAACAGCCAGAGCTGGGCGGATCCAAAGCCAGGAGCCAGGAGCTTCTTCCAGGTCTCCCAGGCGGGTGCAGGGGCCCAAGGACTTGGGCCATCTTCCATTGCTTTCCCAGGCCATAGCAGAGAGCTGGATAGGAAGTGGAGCAGCTGGGACTTGAACAAGCATCCACATGGGATGTGGGCACTGCAGGCGGCAGTTTTACCTGCTTCACCACAACGACGGCCCCAGCGCAGTTCTTATTAAGTTAAAATCTTGCATTGATTCCTGTGGGCTAGTTAGCATGCTGGGTTTCACACAGTCATATACAGAATTCTCAATTGTAGTCCAGCTGCAAACCTTTGATACTGGTTTTGATAGTGGCAGGCCACAGTCGTGAATGAGAATTATGTAAACCTATTACTGCCCCTAAAGATAATCAAAACTAATTAAACTGATAGAGGGCAACATACTTATTACTCTTATCAGGGCAGACCTAACTGGTTCTTCAAAATTGCTGATCATAGATGACACTTAACAGTTTCTCTACCTTAAATTCTTTGAAGATGGTAAACAAAATATTCTCTGCTCTAAACAAAAAGGAACTAAATCATTGTGATAAAATAATGGAAAATAGTGTGAAATAAGTTCATTTCAATAAGTAGATTTTGAATTGTTAGTGAACTATTAGAATCCTCAGATGAGCAAGCCAAAACCCTAGGTACATTAAAATTTTTATTTACTCTTGAAATAAACCTCTTCCTCTGACCCCCAAAATTGATTTAATTATTTGAGAGACAGAGTGAGAGGAAAAGTTATCTCCCATCTTCTAGTTCACACCTCAAATGCCACAAAGGCTGAGACTGAGGGAGGCTGAAACCAGGAGCCAGAGATTCAGTCTGGGTCTCCCATGTGGGTGGCAGGGACCCAGCTACTTAAAACTTTATGTGCCGCCTCCTAGTGTGCATTTGCAGGAAGCTGGAATCAGAAGTGGAACCAGACTCCTTGGAAATGCAAATCTGGGTCAGTGGAGCTGAGGATTGCTTCCAATCAGCCTTCCTCTTCTTCTTTTTTAAAAATAAAAATCATATTATTTATTAAAAAAAAAAAACAAGAAGTGGAGCCAGGACTTGAGCTTGGCACTCCCATATGGGATGTGGGCATCCTTTGCAGCATCATAACTGCTATGCCAAGCACATCCCCATCCCCACCCCAACCCCCGTCCCCCGTACACTTAAAGGACAGTAAGCTTCAGAAGAAAATCCTTTCATCAATAATTAGAATTTTCTTACCTGTTTCATAAACTAAATTCATTGGAATCTGAAAAGGAATGGCTGGAAGTACCAAAGATGTGGAGCATTATAGTAAAAGAAAGGTCAGAAAAAGAAGGTTGTCCTACTTGTTCTCCTAAATCCAGACACAGAACCCTGTAGATGTACTGGTTCTGCTTTCTTTTAGCTGGAAGCCGGACTTGTGTTACTTCAATCTTCTCTGAATTTTCCACCTTCAACTCCAAAAAAAATCGGGAGGGTTCCAAGATCCATGGACGAGGGCCTCCTTCAAATATCATTTCCTTGACAGATTGCCATGTCACCAATGCCACTTCCATGGGATTTAGAGCCTGATAAGGTTTAAAGAAGTCAATTCTGGATTTGTTAGGGAATTCAATAGTTTTCTAAAGTGACAAATGAATTATCTGAATATGCTGAAAATGATGCTAAACCTACTTCCTAAATTAAGTGACATGTGTGCCATTCCCCTCACTTGGAATGCTTCCCAACCTCTGTAGCAATTTAGACACCACCTATCGTTCAAGCCTAATGGACGTGTCATCTTATCTGTTCATTTGTGACCAGTCATTCCAGACCATGGCCACTTCTGCATCCTCTAAGCTCTTACAGTCTTTATCTCGACCACACATTAGTATTTGTTCATCTCCTAATGCTATTAAATTTGTCAAATCCTATGTATAAGTCTAATAATTTTTGTGTTCTCTAGTTTTATAAGCCTCTTAAAAAGGAGAGAATATATTATACTTACTTTTTAAAAATCTCTTCTTGGGGCCAGTGCTGTGGCACAGTGGGTTAATGCCCTGGCCTGAAGCGCTGGCATCCCATATGGGTGCCGGTTCGAGACCCGGCTGCTCCACTTCAATCCAGCTCTCTGCTATGGCCTGGGAAAGCAGTAGAAGATGGCCCAGGTCCGCGGGCCCCTGCACCATGTGGGAGACCTGGAAGAAGCTCCTGGCTCCTGGCTTCCGATTGGCACAGCTTCGGCCATTGCAGCCAATTGGGGAGTGAACCATTGGATGGAAGCCCCTCTCTCTTTGCCTCTCCTCTCTCTGTGTAACTCTGACTTTCGAATAAATAAATAAATATTTAAAAAAATCTCTTCTTTAGGGATTTAGCACAATGTGGGGCATACAAAAGAGAATGTATAAATAAAAACATAAGCATTTAAAATTAATATTTTGGCTGGCGCCATGGCTCATTAGGCTAATCCTCTGCCTTGTGGCGCTGGCACACCGGGTTCTAGTCCCAGTCGGGGTGCCAGATTCTGTCCCGGTTGCCCCTCTTCCAGGCCAGCTCTCTGCTGTGGCCAGGGAGTGCAGTGGAGGATGGCCCAAGTGCTTGGGCCCTGCACCCCATGGGAGACCAGGATAAGTACCTGGCTCCTGCCATCGGATCAGCGCGGTGCGCCGGCCGCGGCGGCCATTGGAGGGTGAACCAACGGCAAAGGAAGACCTTCCTCTCTGTCTCTCTCACTGTCCACTCTGCCTGTCAAAAAAAAATAATAAAATAAAATAAATATTTCACTAAATTATCAAAGGATTTTTACCCCAAAAATATTGAAATAATACATTCATACACCGTTCTATTTCTTAAAAATCCTTACAACCTAATACATGACAGGTGCTATTCACTCAGGGATACAGAAGAATTGTATCCATTTATAGATGAGGAAACTGATATTAGGGGAATTAAGTATTCTCAAAGTATATGTTATATTTTTTAAAGATTTATTTTATTTATTTGAAAGACAGAGTTACAGAGAGAGGTAGAGACAGAAAGAGAGGTCTTCCATCTGCTGGTTCATTCCCCAAATGGCCACAATGGCCAGAGCTGAGCTGATCCGAAGCCTAGAGCCAGGAGCTTCTTCTAGGTCTCCCACGTGGGTGCATGGGCCCAGGGACTTGGGCCATCCTCCTCTGCTTTTCCAGGCCATAGCAGAGAGCTGGATCAAAAGTGGAGCAGCTGGGACTGGAACTGGCACCCACATGGGATTCTGGCTTTAACCCACTGCACCACAGTACCAGCCACAGTATAGGTTATTTTTAATATGGCACACAGTGTCTACAACAGTGACCAAGTCATAAAATGAAGTAAAGTTGAAGCAATTATTCTAAAAATGTAAGCAAATCATGCTTTAGTATTTTTTCTTGAACTAGTCAATTGTATTTATTACTGAATACCAATAAAATAAAACATTAGTAAATAAAGAGAATACAAATATCATTCATTCATACTAGAGACCAAGACAGGTTGGAAGCCTGGAGTTAGCATAGCTATGTCTGTGAGAAGAAATGCCAGTTTCATACCATGAATTACCTCACCTTTAGGGGTTCATAAGCGGCAAATGTGGCACTGCTCTCCAAGTACTCCTCACATTCAGTCACACTCACTGTCACCAGACTATGGCCCAATGACTTGGCAGTTATGTGTGTACTTGAACAGTACACTGATCCAGATCTTTGAATACCTTTCAATCAAAAACATGGTATCAGTAAGCTAATAAGTAGTTAGTCCTCAAGGAAACCAGATTAAACAAATACAAGAATTTCCCTTTTTAGGACCGGCGCTGTGGCTCACTTGGTTAATCCTCCACCTGCAGTGCTGGCATCCCATATGGGCTCCGGGTTCTAGTCCCGGTTGCTCCTCTTCCGGTCCAGCTCTGCTGTGGCCCCGGAGGGCAGTGGAGGATGGTCCAAGTCCTTGGGCCCCTGCACCCACATGGGAGACCAGGAGGAAGCACCTGGCTCCTGGCTTCAGATCAGCGCAGTGCCGTCCGTGGTGGCCATTTGGGGAAAGAACCAATGGAAGGAAGACCTTTCTCTCTCTCTCTCTCTCTCTCTCTCTCTCTCTCATTGTCTATAACTCTACCTGTCAAATAAATTAAAAAAAAAGAATTTTCCTTTTTAAAACTATTTTTATTTATTTGAAAGGCAGGGTGAGAGAGAGAGAGAGAGAGAGAGATACCTTCCATTTGCTGGTTCACACCCCAAATGACTGCTATCGCTGGCACTAGGCCAGGTTGAAGCCAGGAACCTGGTATTCCATCTGGGTCTCCCACATGGGTGCAGGGGCCCAAGCACTTGAGCCATCCTCTGCTGCTTTCCCAGGCCATTAGCAGAGAGTTGGATCAGAAGTGGAGCAGCCAGGATTTGAATGGGTACCCATATGGGATGTCAGCACCACAGGCAGAGGCTTAATTTAATATGCATAGTGACTGAGAGAGAAAGAGACAGAGATCTTCATCTGCTGGTTCACTCCCTAACTGGTCATGATGATCTGGGTTGTGCCAGGCAGAAGCCAGGAACTCATCTGGGACTCCCACATGGATGACAGGAGCCCAAACAATTGGGTCATCTTCCACTGCTTTCCCAGGTACAACAGCAAGGAGCTGGACTGGAAGCAAAGCAGTTGGGACTCCAACCAACACTCATATGGGACGCCAGCATTACAGGCAGTGACCTAACTGGCTACACCACAGTGCCAGCCACAAGTATAAGAATTTTCATACATTAAAATATCATCTTGGGAGCTAGTGGTGTGGTGTAGAGGTAAGCTACTGCCTGCCACTCTGGCATCCCATATGGGCACAAGTTCAAGTTCTGGCTGCTCCACTTCCAATCTAGCTCCACACTAATGGCCTGGAAAGCAGCAGGAGATGGCCCAAGTACTTTATTTATTTAAAATAAATTTTAAAAAGTCATATCAAGCTTATGTAACTATCCACTAGGCCTCAATTTTTCATATCAGGTTGATATAAAAATATGTTCGGTCGTGGGCATTTAGTTTAGTAGTCAAAATGCCTATGTACCTGAGTTCAAAACCAGCTCTACTTCTGATTCCAGCTTCCTGCTAATGCATGCATTGAGAGGTAGCAAGGTGATGGCTCAAGGAGTTGCCTCCTTGTCATCCATGGGAAGTTCTAGATTCAGTATTTTTTTTTAAGATTTATTTTTTATTTATTTTAAAGAGTTGCAGAGAGAGGAAGACATACACAGAGAGAGACAGAGACAGAGAGAGACACAGAGAGAGACACAGAGAGAGAGAGAGAGAGAGAGGTCTTCTGCCCACTAGTTCATTCCTCAAATGGCCACAAAGACCAGAGCTGGGCCAATCTGAAGTCAGGAGCCAGGAGCTTCTTCTGTGTCTCCCACGTGGGTGCAGGGGCCCACGTGGATATTTGGGCCATATTCTGCTGCTTTCCCAGGCGCATTATGGAGCAGCCAGGACTCGAACTGGCTTTACATGCTATACACAGCGCCGGCCTCTATATGTATTTTTTAAACATTTTATTTATTTATGTTAATCTTATTTGAAAGGCAGAAACATACAAAGAAAATGAGATCTTCCATCTGCTGGTTCATTCCTCAAATGCCCACAATAGCTGGGGCTGGACCAGGCTGAAGCCAGGAGCTGGGGATTCAATCCACATCTCCCAGGAGGGTAGCAGGGCTCAGGTGCTTAAGCCATCACCTGCTGCCTCCTAGGGTGCACATTAGAAGGAGGCTGGAATCCAGAGTGGAGCTGGGACTTGAACCCAGGCACTATGAGGTGGGATGTGGATATCCCAAGTGGCATCTTGATCACTGTACTAAATGCCTTCTCCAGAGAGAAATATTAAAGAAAGAAAGGAGAGAGGAGCTGAGGCTGGAGACAGATCTCACCAGGAGCTGGAAATGGATATTGCTTGGCCACAGTGTTATTTATGTTCCCTTGTCTTCACATCTGTAAGATGAGGATAATACCTACTGCAGAGTAGTTGTCAGCATAAACAAACATTATAGAGAAAGATAATATGTGAGTCTAGACTACAAATGACAGTTTCTGATTTGATGATTAGTTCTTCAATTCAAAAACAAAGGAAGGATGGGGGCCAGTGCCGTGGCTCACTTGGTTAATCCTCCACCTGCGGTGCCGGCATCCCATATGGGCGCCGGGTTCTAGTCCCGATTTGCTTCTCTTCCAGTCCAGCTCTCTGCTGTGGCCCCAGAGGCCAGTGGACGATGGCCCAAGCTCTTGGGCTCCTGCACCTGCATGGGATACCAGGAAGAAGCACCTGGCTCCTGGCTTCAGATTGGCGCAGCGCTGGCTGTAGCGGCCATTTGGAGGGTGAACCAACGGAAGGAAGACCTTTCTCTCTCTCTCTCTCTCTCTCTCTCTCTCTCTCTCTCACTATCTATTTCTCTACCTGTCAAATAAAAAAAAAAAAAAAAGGAAGGAGAAAATAGAAAGTCTACTCTTACCTTCTTTGAAAAGAGTAAAGACTCCTTGCTTATCCATACTCAGACCCAAGGACAAGTGAGAGCAGTCTGTGAATGCAATGGCCTCTTTGGTCTCCCTATTTACGTGATACATTGCAATGGGGATTTCTATGGTATGACCAATCTCCACATCAGCATGAAATGGTAACAGTTCCATTTTGTTCAGTTTCAGGACATATATCTGGAAGGGAAAATAATTCATCTGTCAAAAACGTTATGTTATTAACGTCTCAGAATAAATCATTCATTGATTATTTAAACACGTGATTATAAATATATATATATATACACACAAAGAGACATATGTTTGTAGATAAAAGCATTTATTAGAGTACTTCCAAGTTCATGGAAAATAACATTAGAAGATAATTTAGTGTAAAAATTTTGAAATTCATACATAGCATTTTCATAATATACATTTTACAATTGTGAAAAGAAATTTTGCAACAAAATTAACTCACTTTTAATTCCACTTTTTCATAAAATTTTGTTGTTGTTTTAAAGATTTATTTATTTATTTTGAAAGTCAGAGTGACAGAGAGAGAGGGAGATATCTTCCATCTGCTGGTTCACTCCCCAGATGGCTGCAATGGCCAGGGCTGGGCCAGGCCAAGGCCAGGAGCAAAGAGATTCATCCAGGTCTCCCACATGGTCCGCAAAAATTTTTGAAGTTCCCTTATGTTATTTATATTTTTTATAAGAACTAATATCCTTAGATTCCATATCCACAGATTCAACCTTTGGTGAACTTAAAATATTTGGGGAAAATGCTGCATTTAGGCCCAGTGTTGTGGCATAGTGGATTAAGTAGCTTTCAACACCAGCATCCCATACTGGAGCACTGGTTCAATGCTGCTGTGCTTCTAGTTCAGCTTCCTGCTAATGCGTCTGGGAAAGTAGAAGAAGGCCCATGTACTAGAGCTCCTAACAACCACACGGGAGACCTGGGTGGAGTTGCTGGCTCCTGGCTTCGTCTAGGACCAGCTCTAGTGATCTCAGACATTTGGGGAGTGAACCAGCAGATGGATGATCTCTCATCTCTCTCTCTCTGTAACTGCCTTATAAATAAATAATTTTTTTTTTGACAGGCAGAGTGGACAGTGAGAGAGAGAGATAGAGAGAAAGGTCTTCCTTTGCCGTTGGTTCACCCTCCAATGGCAGCCGCGGCCCACGCGCTACAGCCCGCACATCGCGCTAATCCGAAGCCAGGAGCCAGGTGCTTCTCCTGGTCTCCCATGGGGTGCAGGGCCCAAGCACTTGGGCCATCCTCCACTGCACTCCCTGGCCACAGCAGAGAGCTGGCCTGGAAGAGGGGCAACTGGGACAGAATCCAGCGCCCCAACCGGGACTAGAACCCAGTGTGTTGGTGCCGCTAGCGGAGGATTAGCCTATTGAGCCGCGGCGCTGACCCTTCCTTTAGCTTTTAAAAAAAGGCAGAGCCAGAGAGAGAGAATTTTTTTTTAAATTTAAGGTAAACTTCATGTACTTCATATACACAGATTCAGGAACATAGTGATACTTCCCACCCTACCCTTCCTCCTGCCCACGTTCCTATCTTTCCTCCTCTCTTATTCCTTCTCTTAATTTTTACAATGATCTACTTTCAGTCCACTGTATACTCACAAGATTAACTCTATGCTAAGTAAAGAGTTCGACAAATAGTAAAGGGCCGGCACTGTGGTGCAGTAGGTTAATTCTCCACCTGGGGCGCCAGCATCCCACATGGGTGCCTGTTCTAGTCCCGGCTGCTCCTCTTCCCATCCAGCTCTCTATTATGACCCAGAAAAGCAGTAGAAGATGGTCCAAGTCCTTGGGCCCCTGTACTCGCATGGGAGACCAGGAAGGGGCACCTGACTCCTGGCTTTGGATCAGTGGCTTCAGCCGTTGCGGCCATTTGGGGAGTGAATCAGTGGATGGAAGATCTTTCTCTGTCTCTCCCTCCCACTGTCTGTATTTCTACCTCTCAAATAAATAAATAATCTTAAAAAAAAAGAAATAAGAAAAAAAACACTGTTCCTCAACAGTAGAGAGAAGGCCTGTAAACTATCATCAAATCTCAGAATGTGAATTTCACTCTTATACATTACATTTTTGGTACTCTATTAATTACCACAGATCAGGGAAAACATATAGTATTTGTTTTTTCAGGACTGGCTTATTTCACTAAGTATAATGGTTTCCAGTTGCATCTATTTTTTTGCAAAAGACAGTATTTCATTCTTTTGTATAGCTGAGTAGTATTCCATTATATAAATCACAATTTCTTTATCTAGTCATCAGTTGATGGACATCTGGGTTGATTCCATATCTTAGCTATTGTAAATAGAGCTGCAATAAGCATGGGGTACAGATAACTCCTTCATATGCTGATTTTATTTTGTTTGAGTAAATTCCTAGGAGTGGGATTGCTGGGTCACATGGTATATCTATTTTTAGCTTTCTGAGGCATCTCTATACTGTCTTCCACAGTGGCTGTACCAGTTTACATTCCCATCAACAGTGGTTTTGGGTACTTCTTTCCCCAAATCCTCACCAGTGTTTATTGTTTGTTGATTTCTGTATGAGAGTCATTCTAACTGGGGTGAGGTGAAACCTCATCGTGATTTTGATTTGCATTTCCCTGATGACTAGTGATCCTGAGTAAAAAAAAAAAAAAAAAAAGAGGGGCTGGCACTGTGCCATAATAGGTAAAGCCACAACCTATGTGGGTGCCAGTTGGAGTACTGGTTGCTCCACTTCCGGTCCAGTTCCCTGCTAATACACCTGGGAAGGCAGTAGAAGATGGCCCAAATCCTTGGGCTCCTGTACCATTGTGGGAGACCTGGAAGAAGTTCCTGGCTCCTGGCTTCAGATCGGCCCACTCTAGCTGTTTCGGCCATTTGGGGAATGAACCAGCAGATGGAAGACCTTTCTCTCTGCCTCTCCCTCATTCTGTAACTCTCTCTCTCAAATAATTAAATAAATAAAATATTTATTTTATTTATTTTTATTATTAAAAAACACAAACAGGGCAATTATAATAAAAACACCTAATATTAATTATTGAATATATACCAACACTGAGGTAAACATTATCTTATTAAATTCTGACAATAACCCTTTGAACTATACTAATATTATCTCCATTTTAGAGATGGAGAAACAAATATAGATATTAAGTAAGTGTCTATTAAATAAAACAGGATTTGGTCCAGGTTCAGAAATATTTAAGGAATACATACTTCCACCGTGAATTTGAGCAACATTTTATAAAAAAGATTTATTTATTTGAAAGGGAAAGATATGAAGGGAGAAAGAGAGAGAGAGGTCTTCCATCTGCTGGTTTTCTCCCAAATGGCAGAAACAGCTGGAGCTGGGCAGATCCAAAGCCAGGAGCCAGGAACCTCTTGCAGGTCTCCTATGGAGCTGGATAGGAAGTACAGCAGCCAATACTTAAACCAGTGCCTGTATGGGATGCTGACACTGTAGGCAGAGGCTTAACCTTCTATGCAGGCACACTGCCGGCCCCAGACAGACAGACCTTGCATTGGTTCACTCCCACAAATGGTTGCAACAGCTGGGGTAGCACGGGGCCAGAAATTCCATCCTGGTCTCCCACATGGGTGGCAAGGGCTGAAGCATTTAGATCATACTCCGCTGCTTTCCTAGGTGCATTAGCAGGGAGCTGGATCAGAAGTGGAGCAGCCTGGACTTAAAAGAGCTCTCAAATGGGATGCTGATGTCACAGGCAGCAGCTTAGCCTGCTATGCCACTATGCAGGCTCCTAGAAATATTTTCAACTGTACTGCTGTGCCTAAATTTAGATAGTGATGTCTCAGGTTTGATAAGAAGGTTCTTTGGAGAATTACTTACCTTAATCTCGCCATATCGGAAGGGATTTTGTACATCTCGGGCCAAAACAGTACTGTTCCCCTTGACCTGACCTGCAGTCACCACTCCTTTTGTGGTTACCATGACCACTGTTTCATTAGAGGAGGTCCAGGTAAAGTTGCCACTACCACCCTCCACCTGTGAAAAAGCACAGCCTTGTATTTAATTACCATAGGAGGATAAATGAAAATGTAAAAACTGGTGAAACAGTGTTTAGGGACAATAAAACTATAGAATACTATTTCTGTATATGTTAAGAAACTCTAACACTATAGAAAAGTAACTAAATGGGCAAGAAAAATACAAAAGGAAGATTGAGTAGTGATGGCGTCACAAAAGGTCAAAAAAGCTCACAAGGGAACTTGACAAAGCAAGAAAACTCACAAGGAAAGAGTCTGTGGAAGACAGACAGAAAGCACACCAAGCTTCGCTTCAGATGATAACATTCAAAGGCATGATACAGTCGTCACCAAAAACTGATTTATAGTATTAGGAATGGGGACAGTAAAATGTAACATTAACCAAATGTTAATCCTTACCTCTTTGGGAATTCTTACATTACAGGACACCATACCTGCACTTTATAACGATACAACATTCCCATAGCATGATGAGGGAATGCCAGGAAGCTGGGTGTCAGCTTGATGGGGAAGTAAATCTTTACTTCTTGTTGGTGTTTGATTAGAAATTTTACAGGCTTAATATCTTTAGTCTATAAAGAACAGGAAAAAATGAACAAAGTAGATTTTGTAAGAATTGTTCTTAAATACATATTCATATACTCAGTGGTGTAATTACTCAAGCAGTTTCGATGAACAAAATAATTTACTCTTCAGTGAAGAAGCACAGCTACTATGTCTGATAATAAAGGAAATTTGCGAATTATCACAGTTAAAAGGTTCCTGAAATTAAAGTTTTATCAACACAGGAAATTGTAGTTTTAGAGAGAAAGGACCTTAGATATCCTTCATGGGGCCAGCACTGTGGCATAGCGGGTTAAGCCATGCCTGCATCCCTGGCATTCCATATGGGTACCGATTTGAGTCTCAACCGCTTTACTTCTGATCCAACTCCCAGTTAATGCACCCAGGAAAGCAGCGGTGAATTCCTGCACCCTCGTGGAAGACCATGAAGAGGCTCCCTGGCTGTTGCCTGGCCCAGGCCCACCGTTGTACCATTTGGGGAGTGAACCAGCAGATGGAAGACCTCTCTGTGTCTCTCCCTCTTTCTCTCGCTTCGTTCTCTCTTTCTGTCACTCTGCCTTTCAAATAAATAAAATAAATCTTTAAAAAATATATGCTGAAGCCAGTGCTGTGGCAGAGTGAGTAGAGGCGCCGCCTTCAGCCGGCATCCCATATAGGCACCAGTTGGAGTCCCAGCTGCTCCACTTCCAATCCAGCTCTCTGCTATGGCCTGGGAAAGCAGAAGAAGATGGCCCAAGTCCTTGGCCCCTGCACCCATGTGGGAGACCCGAAAGAAGCTCCTGGCTCCTGGCTTCAGATTGGCACAGCTCTGGCTGTTGCAGCCCTTTGGGGAGTGAACTAGCAGATAGAAGACCTCTGCCTCTGCCTCTCCGTAACTCTGTCTTTCAAATAAATACATAAAATCTTTTTAAAAAGATATCCTTCAGTAAAATTAATAAACTATAAAGGCAAAGGAATATTACAACCCACTCAGGATAAAATAAACAGCACCCATAAAGGTGTTGAGGTAAAATTTAAGTCCTCAGAGTTACATTGACATTTTCTCTTTGAAGGCGAAATTTAAACTATGTGTATAATCTATCTTTTGAGAATCCCTGAAATATTTATCAACAGTCACATATCTGTAATGATGGCCATGACTTTCTCCTCATTCTCTCTCTCTCTCTCTTTAAAAAAGATTATTTATTTATTTGAAAGGCAGAGTTACAGAGAGAGGGAAAGAAATAGAGAGATATCTTCCATCTACTGGTTCACTCCCCAAATGACTACAACAGCCAAGACTTGGCCAGGCTGAAGCCAGGAGACAGGAGCTTCATCTGGCTTTCTGGCTGGCAGGAGCCCAAGCACCTGGGTCACCTTCCACTTCTTTCCCAGGCACATTAGCAGGTAGCTGGATTCTATGGGGAGCAGCTGGGTCTCGACCTGGTGCCCTTATGGGATGCTGGAAGCTTAACCTGCTGTGCCACCATGCTGGCCCCCTCTCTTCATTCTCTTAAGGTAGCTGAATTATAAACTGAAAACAAGTCTTTTGGTTGAAAAGAAAATTTTAGTCCACTGAAATTGATTTTATAACTAAATTTTTTTAAAAAATTTCTTCCAGAGAGAGCGAGTGCTCCTAGACAGTAGTTCATTTTCCAGATGAACACAAGGTTAACAGCCAGGAACTCAATCCAGGTGTCCCATGTGATGACAGGGACCCACTTACTTGAGCCATCACTTGCTGCCTCTCAGGGTTCACATTAACAAGAAGCTGGAACAAGGAGCTGTAGCTGAGAGTCAAACAGGCCCCTCAACATGGGATGTGCATATTGTAACTGGTGTCTTAACAGATGGGCCATACACCCACCCCTTATTTTGGATTTTTAAACTTTTGAATTGTAAGATAATACATTTGTGTTGACAAAAAAACAAAGAAAGAAAAAGAAAAAAAGATTAATAAAAAGAAAAAAAAGGCACATATTTGAAAAGCAGAATGACAAATGGCCACAACAGCCAGGGCTGATCCAGGCTTAAGCCAGGAGCCTGAGACTCCCTCCAGGTCTCCCACGAGGGTGGCAGGGACCCTAGTACTTGGGCCATCTGCTGCTTCTTTCCCAGGTGTGTTAGCAGGGAGCTGAATCAGAAGCAAAACAGCCAGGACTCTGACATATGATGCTGGCCTTGCAGGTGGGGGCTTAACCTGTTGCACCACAATGCTAACACTCTTAATGGTTTTTAGGTCACTACTGAGGGACAGACACCAAGAAGAAATCTATTGGGAGCAGGCATCATATTCTAGGTCTTGACTGAACTCTTTTTAAAAAAATATTTATTTATTATTTATTTGAAAGGCAGAGTTACAGAGACGCAAAGGCAGAGAGAGAGAGAGAGAGAGAGAGAGAGAGAGAGGGAGGGAGAGGGAGAGGGAGAGGGGTCTTCCAACCACTTGTTCACTCCCCAAATGGCTGCAATGGCCGAAGCCAGGAGCCAGGAACTTCTTCTGGGTCTCCTATGTGAGTACAGGGGCCCAAGGACTTGGGCCATCTTCTACTGCTTTCCCAGGCCAAAGCAGAGAGCTGGATGGGAAGTGAAGCAGCCAGGACTTGAACCGGCACCCATATGAGATGCCGGCCCTGCAGGCAGAGGCTTTACCCACTAAGCCACAGCCCCGGCCCCTTGACTGAACTCTTACAATTCAAGAATAAAGTAACAGAATATAATGAGGAGCTGGTACTGTGGCGTATTGTGTAAAGCCGCCGCCTGCAGTGCTGGCATCCCATATGGCACCAGTTCAAGTCCTGGCTGCTCCACTTCCCATCCAGCTCTTTGCTATGGCCTGGGAAAGCAGTAGAAGATGGCCCAAGTCCTTGGGCCCCCGCACTTGTATGAGAGAACTGGAAGAGGCTTCTGGCTCCTGGCTTCAGATTGGCACAGTTTCAGTGGTTGCAGCCAAATGGGGAGTGAACCAGCAGATGGAAGATCTCTCTCTCTCTCTCTCTGCCTCTCCTTCTTTCTGTGTGTAATTCTGACTTTCAAATAAATAAATAAATCTTTAAAAAAATAATATAATGAGTTGATTCTAAGAAGACATTTTACACTGTAGAGAAAAAAAGGGAGAAGATAGTATATAAAAGGTAGAGGATAACATTATTTTTAAGTTTTTTTTTTTTTAAAGATGTATTTGTTTGAAAGACATAGGGACAGAGGGAAACAGAAAGTGATCTTCTACCTGCTGGTTCACTCCCCAAAACACTGGGCTAGGACAAACCCAGGAGCCAGGAATTCCATCTGGTAACCCACATGGGCCATATCCCACTGCTTTCTCAGGTGCATTAGCATGGAGCTGGATCAGAAGTGGAACAGTAGGGACTCCAACTGGTGCTCTGATATGGGATGCCAATGACATAGGCAGTGGCTTAACACACTGTGCCACAATGCCAGTCCCACATTAATTCATTCATTCATTTGAAATGAAGAGTGACAGAGAGAGGGAGAGACAGAGACAGAGACAGAGATATCTTATATCTGCTGGTTCACTCCCCAACTGGCCACAACAGCCAGGATTGGGGCAGGCAGAAGCCAAGAGCCAGGTATTCTATCTGGGTCTCCCATGTGGGTGGCAGGAGCTCAAGCACTTGAATCCTCATCTACTACCTTCCAGGATGCATCAGCAGGAAGTAGAATCAGAATCAGAGTTGCTGAGACACAAACCAGCACTGGCATATGGGATGCAGGTGTCCCAAGTTGTGGCTCAATTTGCTGTGCCACAATGCCCACCCCTATTGTTGATTTTAATTGCATTGTGATTTCAGAATAAGGGTAATCATAGAAGCTTTTCGGATCTCTTAAATGGATACTGAGCTGGAAATTTAAAGCTCTGATCTAATAATTTTCTTTCCCCATATGATGCAGCACAAGCCTATTATAGAAGTAACAATCAGTATCATCCCTTCACTAAAATATGTTGTCAGCAAACACTTGGCTACCCAAGGCCTTGCCTTCTATATGTGACTGCATTTTCTTTCATTATTTTTTGAAAGATTTATTTATTTATTTGAAAATCAAAAGTTACACAGAGAGAGGAGAGGCAGAGAAAGAGAGAGAGAGAGAGAGAGAGAGGTCTTCCATCCTCTGGTTCACTCCCAAATTGGCCACAATGGCCAGAGCTGTGCTGATCTGAAGCCAGGAATCAGGAGCTTCTTCTGGCTCCCATATGGATGCAGGGGTCCAAGGACTTGGGCCATCTTCTACTGCTTTCCCAGGCCATAGCAGAGAGTTGGATCAGAACTGGAGCAGCCAGGACTCAAATTGGTGCCCATATGGGATGCCAGCACTGCAAGGTGGTGACTTTACCTGCTACACCACAGCACCGGCCTCTTCTTATTCTTTCTTTCTTTTTTTAAATTTATTTGACAGGTAGAGTTACAGACAGTGAGAGAGAGAGAGAGACAGAGAAAAAGGTCTTCCTTCTGTTGATTCACTCCCCAAATGGCCACTACGGCCAGCATTGTGTCAATCCAAAGCCAGGAGCCAGGTTCTTCTCCCTGGTCTCCCATGTGGGTGCAGGGACCCAAGTACTCAGGCCATCCTCCACTGCCCTCCCGGGCCACAGCAGAGAGCTGGACTGGAAGAGGAGCAATTGGGACTAGAACCCAGCACCTATATGGGATGCTGGCACTGCAGGTGGAAGATTAACCAAGTGAGCCACGGCACCGGCCCCTCTTTTTTTTTTTTTTTAAACATTTATTTATTTATTTATTTGAAAGAAGAGTTACAGAGAGAGAGAGAGAGAGAGAGAAATCCTCCATCCACTGGCTCAATCCACAGAGGGCCGCAAGGGCCAGAGCTGCGCTGATCCAAAGCCAGGAGTAAGGAGCTTCTTCCAGGTCTCCCATGCAGGTGCAGGGGCCCAAGCACTTGAACCATCTTCCAGGCCATCAGCAGAGAGCTAGGTCAGAAGAGGAGCAGCTGGGACTCCAACCAACACCCATATGGGATGCCAGTGCCACAGGCAGAGGCTTAGCCTACT